TGGATGGATGGATGGATGGATGGGCCAATGGACAAACGGATGCACGGCTGAATGGGACGGCCAACAGAGAATGAATGGAGGGATACAGTCACAACACCACCTGGTACTGTCTCCTAGCAGGCAGGGCACACAGACATCTACTCATCCCTCATCAGATCACAGTTCCTACTAGAAGTGCCTCCCAGTGTCCTGTGCCCTTGTCCTCCCCAGCCTCCCTGGCAGGTCAGTCCTGCTAGTTCTCCACCATTAGGGTTATGAGATGGGGGAAGCAGAAAAGTGGGGGCAACGTAAAACCTGCCTCAGGCTGGGTGGGACATGAGAGGCGAGAGGTTGCTGGGGAAGGGGGACAGGAGGAGCATCATCATCCGTGCAGGAAAACAGATGGATGGGCAAAGTGGGTGACCATGGGGAAGGCAGCAGTGCGGGCGGGAAGCAGGGCTGGGCCACTCTCCCAGGGAAACAACAGCAACATATCCTCCAGGCCGCCCCCCTCCCCGATCTGATCGATACCAGGATCGATAGACACAATCACCTCATTAAAGCACTGCAGGGAAGCCCTGAGCCTCCGACTCAAGCACCTGCCAGCATCAGGGGACGCTCTGCCTGCATCTCTCTGCTCGCTTCCACACGTGGCTCCAGCTCTCCTTCCTAGGGGGTCCCCTCTGAGATCCCCCCCACCCTCACCGTCTCTGTCCGTGCTGCATTGAGGTCTCTGTGTCCATCACCTTCCCTGTACCTCTGTGCCCATCTCTCCATCTCGCTCCCTCTATCTGTCTCTGGGTCACTGTCTCTCCACCAGGGTCCGGTCACTCCTCCGTTTCTGTCTGTCCTGCCGTGTTTCCATCCATGGCTCCCTGCCCTGCTCCATGCCACTGTCTTTCAGCCCCCGCATCTTCTTCCTCTCAGCACCCCTCCCAGCCTGCTGAGGCTCCAGGGCCCAGATGGCAGGACGTTTACGCCGCAGTGCCTGCAAGTGCAGGGCTATGGCTGCTTCGGGACTTCTTCCCGCCCCCAAACTATGAGCCTGCTAGGCAGGCTGCAGTCAGTCATCTGCCCCGCCTGCTGGGGACTCCCACTCACTCAGAAGGCCCCTCAGTAACCAGGGACAGGCGTGAGCTCACGTCTGGGGTGGACAATGGACCACCACTGAGGAGGGCTGCCTGGGCCAGGAGACACTGCAGAAACCCCTGGCTGATCACTTTAACTGCCTCTCCAATGGGGCATCCTTCTTGATGTCTAACTGTAAGCCCTCTTGCTGTGGCTTCCATCTGCCTTTGGCCTGTGTGACTCAGCTTCTTCCCAGAGCAGTCAGTCTGCACCAGCGGCATCTGGTTGGGCAGGGATGGCTGGGCACACCTCCCCCTTAGGGGGAGAGGGCATTCAGGAGGTACCCCCTTCCAGGCCACAGCCAGAACTGGGGCGAGGGCAGGGAAGGCTGGAAACCAGGGTAATGGGAGGTTAGAGGCCCCCACCACCTGAGTCCCCAGAGCAGACACGGCTTTTCCCACCCTTACCCACCACGCTGGCAGAGCTGAGCACCTCACCCCAGGAGGCTGGCAGAGCGCGTATATGCACACACACACCCCCACGCTCTACGTGGCCCAGACACAACAAGCCCACCGAAGTGCATGCACGCCCACCTGCTGACACCACAGCCAGTTCCCACCCCCCAGCTGCCAGGAGAGGGAGGGAGCTGAGCACAGGCGGCTGGGGGGAGGTGAAGCTGGGGTATGAGGAAGGGTCCCCACGGTGATGTGATGGGGGATGCGGGGACTGGGAGCTCACAACACCCAGGCGTGGAGGTCGGCAAGGTCTGGGCACTGGGTTTTCAGACCCCTGAGCAGCGGGCACCTCTGCTGGGACCTACACACCCCAGCTGGGAGCAGACTGGAGCCTCCCGAACCATGGGTGCCCCACACCTCTGGCCCTCACACAACCACGTTTCTCCCCCAGGTGGAGTCGGTGAGGGGGGCCAGGGGGTGTGCACAGCTCCAACTTCACACTTAGGGAGTTGGCACAAAGGTGCAGCCCCCTGGCCTCACTGTGGGCTCAGCAGGAGAGCCAGAGCAGCCCCACCCCTAACCTACCCCCAATCCCACCACTGGCTGCCACCAGGCCCATAAGGCAGGGCTGCTCCCTCTTCCACATGACAGCCCTTCAAATATTTGAAGACAGCTCGCCCGTCCCTGCTCAACCTCCTCTTCCCCTGACTAAACAGCCCGGTTCTTAGAACAATTCCTCAAACGCAATGGTTTCAAGTGCCCTCACCAGACTGGGCATCACATCCAACAAGCAAGCTGCACCATGTGGCTCCCAGCATGCCGGCCAGCCGGCAGAACCTAGGCCAGACTGCCTCCTGCCCCAACTCCACAGTCCTCCCCAGCCCGCCCGATCAGCCTCCAGGCAATCCCTTCTCACCCCACAGAGGGCTCAGGACGGGGACCTCAGATGCTTCCCCACCCAACACATCTCCCCAGGCCCAAACCTCTCCCAGTGACGAGTCTCTCCAGAGTCCTGGGCTCCATGCTAGCGCTCGGCACTGGTCCACACCCTCCCCAGCCCACCTCCTCTAGGAAGCCTTCCCAGATGAAACACAGGCAGCTCAGTCCTGCCTCTGCCGAGGCATCCTGCATGCACCCCCTGCCCCGCCCCACCCCCTGGTATAGTGGACAGTGGGGAGGAGGGAGCGCCCTGGCCTGGGCCCTACCTGCTCGTGGTACTCAATGCCCATGCTGAGCGTGTTGACCAGGATAGCAATCATGATGCCCCTGCCAAAGTACTTGCTGTCCACGATCTTCCGGAAGGTGTCGCAGATCAGTCTCCAGAAGGCCAGCACAGAGCTGGGCCCTACAGCCAGCCCCAGGCTGCGTCGAGGGTCCCGGGGGTCACCATGCTGAGCATCCTGCGTGAACTCATAAACCGCCTCACTGTCAGAGTCCGGCACCTCTCGGTCGGCAAGCTCCACCTCCCCTGCCCGGGCACAGTAGGGGCAGCTGTCTGGGCCACAGGCCCCGCTGTCTGCCTTCAGACACGGGCTGGAGATCTTGCAGGAGCTTTGGCAGGCACCTGGGATGGAAGGTTCGAGGTCAGAGGAAGCAGATTTCTCACCTGGGTGACCCGCCCTTAGAGCATGTATAGAGGGAATGGAGGGATAGAACGACTAGGCACTTAAAGGCTGGGGGTGGGGACTGGGTAAGTGGGGCTGAATGCCCTGCACAGTGGACAGTCTAAAACAAGAAACCAACCAGCAAACAATAAAGCCCAAGCTCCCTGTCGTCAGATTGATTCTGACTCACGGCAGTGACCCTGTTTGACAGAGCCTAATGCCTCAGAGAGTTTCCAAGACTGCAATCTTTACCGGAGCAGTCAGCCACATCTCTCCCCCAAAGAGCGGATGGTAGATTTGAACTGCCGACCACCTGGTTCACAGTCAAGCTCTTTAACCACTTCAGCACCAAGGCTCCTTTTGAACAAGAAAATGCCTCCAATTGCCAACAGCACCCCAGCTGACAGTGACTGATGGGGTATCTGTCCTAGGGTTGGCAGAGCGGTGACCTTGATTGTCCTTGGAGGTCCCGGGCCTCCTCTATGTCCTCAGAACAGTCTGCTCCCTGAATCACATGCCAGACACACACATACCTTCTGTACACCATACATGTGTACGCACCAATGCCAGCTCCAAACATGTACGAAGCACACGCACACACACCAGGTATGAGCACACACCACACCCACATGCATACCAGAGTGCAGACACAGAGCAGGCACAGGCAAACACACAAGCACACGTGAGCACATGAATACCCGACACGCATGTGAGTGCACACACACATACACACGTGCAAACGCATACCGGATATCCCCCAACTGTCCACTTAAATCCAGCTTTGGTCACGGAAAGGAAGCCTGGGGGCGTAGTGGCCAGCGAATGGCAAGTCAGCAGCTGGAGCCCACCTGCTGCTCCAGGGACCAAGGTTGCCTTTTACTCCCGTAAAGACTGACAGCCTTGGAAACCCCGGGGCAGTTCCACCCTGTCCTCCAGGGTCGCTGTAAGTCGGCGTCCACTTGATGGCTCTGAGTTTGGTTGAGGTTTTGGGTCACAGAATCTGAGAACCGAGAGGAGCCTCGGAGACCGGGTGCCGGTGCTGAGGCACCTGAACAAAAGCTCCCCTGACTGAAGGGGAGGGGTCAGCAGACACCACCGACCACGTACTCAGGGGACCCTGACTCCCGTCCCCGGGGCAGGTAGTGGGAGAGCTGGCTCAGCACCCTTCCCTCTGTGCCTGATGATGGCACTGTCCTGTCCCAGCCCACACCCCCACACAACATCCCACAGTGCCATGCATCTGGACAGCTGCCGGAGACAACCTACCACCCTTCCCAGGCCTGAGCTTACTCCCCACTGGGGGCTCCACCCATCACACTCGCAGCCCCCAAGGACTGGCTCTTCCAGCCTGGGCCTGCCCGTTCAGGGGGGCTCCTTCCCTTGAGAAGCACGGCACTGGGTGCAGTCACCCCCACTACCCTCTGAGTCGCATCATAAGCAGAATCGAGTGTGGGCCTTCATGGTGGATGCCGAGTCCACAGCCCAGCTCCACCTCTGCACACCGTGGGCAAGTCCCACAACCTCTCCAGGTCCCATTTCCAGAGCGGGGTGAGCAGTAGGGCCTCGGCACGATTGTCACTGTTGCTGGGTGCCGTCGAGTCGATTTAACTCCCAGCCACCCATGTCAGAGTAGAACTGCCCCCTAGGGCTTTCTAGCTTGTAATCTTTACAGAGCCACCAGGTGGCTTTGAACTGACCACCTTTGGGTTGTTAGCCAAACACTTCACCATAGTGCCACCAGGACTCCCTCATGACGTGCTGGTTACTGTGACTACTAAAAGCAAAAACTAACCCCATGGCAGTCCGGCTGATTCCAGCTCAGCACGACCCTCTGGGACACAGCAAAAGAGCCCTGGTGGCCTAGTGGGTTGTGCATTGGGGCTGCTGACTACAAGGCCAGCAGTTCGAAGCCATCAGACGCTCTATGGGAGAAAGATGAGGCTTTCTATTCCCGGAAAGACTTTGTCTTGGAAACCCGAGGGGCGGGCAGTTTTCCTCTGTTCTGTGGGGTTGCTCTGGATCAGGGTTGACCAGAGTCGTAAGTGAGCTGAGGACAGAGCAGGCCCACCCTGCAGGGTTTCTCAGGACCCAAGTCTTTACAGAAGCAGCTGCTATCGGAGCGGCTGGAGGGTTCAAGCTGCCCACCTTCCGGGTGACAGCAGAGCGCTTACGAGCGGCGACACCAAGGCAGGACTTGATTTGAGCCCAAAGGCCGAGTGACAAGAGAGTCCTCATCAGCATCACTGTTAGGACATGCAAACCCTCACTCCCCAACCCACACTCCCGCTTTCACAGACGAGCGAGTCTGGACTCAGAAAAACCATGTCGCTTGTTGAAGGGCTCCAGAAAGAACAGGGCTGGAGTGCCAATCTGAGGCCTGGCCCGGGCCTGCACCCCGCGCTCACCTGTGCTCTGCGTCTCCAGCAGCTTGTGCATGGAGCTGTAGGGCCCTGGGGGGATGTTGAGGCTGGTGAGGGTGGCCGGCCCAGCATGGGGAGCCACCTCGACCAGCGCCTTCTCCTTTGGCACCTCTGGCGGCGAGCTGGTGTGCACGGTGGGGTACACCTTCCCACTGCCCCTCGTCCTGGCTGACGCCTCCGATGGTGACCTGGGAGGGGGTGCCTGGCAGTGCACCGGCTCCAGGTGACAGTCGGCGTGGTAGAAGCTGTGCACAGACTCTGTGCCCCCCGGAGGGCCCGCAGACAGGGTGGGTGTGGAGGGCGGTGGCAGCATGAGGCGGTGGGACCCGCTGGCTTCCCTGTCCTGGATCTCCGGGTTGGACCGGGGGCCCCTCAGCGTCCCGTTGCCCAGGTGGTAGTGATGGTGATGGTGGTGGTGGTGGTGCACTAGGTGGTGGACTGATGGACGGCGGTGGGAGCGAGAACAGCTGCCACTGGCCTGCGTTTCCTGACCCCCGTGGGCCACTGGGCTGCTCAGAAGCCCGGCCCGCACGCCTGCCGCCCGGGAGACCTGGGCCAGCCTGCGGGCACCTTTGCGCAGGATGTACACCAGGTACTTGAGCAGCTCCTCGTAGCAGCTGCCGGGCTCCGAGAAGCTGGCCAGGGTGCTGGCATTGGACAGGAAGCGCACCCGCTGCTCACGCATCAGCTGGCTCTCCCGCTGCTTGGTCTCTGAGAACTGCGTGGCGATCACCACCAGGCACAGGTTGATCATGAAGAAGGAGCCCACCTGTTGGGGTGGGGACAGGCAGAGGAAATGTCCTGAAGAAAAGGGCATCCCCACACCAGCTGCCGGGCACAGAGCGCTTCCTAGGAGCCAGGCACCGGCACCGGCACCCGGAGGAGCTGTGTCCTAAGCATCGCCTCAGTTTCTCCTCAGGCACACAGTTTACCTCAGGGGCCCCTCGTCACAACTCCATCTGACTGGTCGGGAAATGGAGGGGCCGGGAAATGGAGGCTCGGAGAGGACGTGGCATTGGCAGTCAAGCTCGGCCTGGAACCAAATGCTGTGCAACCCTAAGGTGGTGTCCTTGATCCTGGTGTGCTGCAAGGGTAGCCACGAGTTCCCCGCCCCTAACACTTCCACCCCCAGGGGCTCTCTGAACCTGTCTCCCAGTCCCCACCCATCAGGAGTAGGGGTTGCTGTGGAAATGTATGTCATTTTGAGGACAGGTTGGATCGACCTGAGATCTTGGCAAAAAAACACTCACAAGACTCCTGGTTATAGTTCCAATTCTAGCTGCCTAAGCTTGGGTGAGCCCCTCAGCCCCTCAGAGTCCTTACCTGACCACCGGGCCCACTGGCCTTACTCCATCCCTTCCCCCTGGTCCAGGTACCAGCCAAGCTGTGGCTCTGACTTGCCCCCCACCCCCACCTCCACCCCCACGCCTCATTTCCTCCACACTGTGAGACGGCCATTGCTTGGATGGACACCAATCCCAAAGGTAGGACATGAGGACTCAGGGTGACCAAGCAGGTTTTTATTTTTCTCTCCATCTTGTTCTAGCAATTATGATCATTAGCTACACTGGTGTGGGTCCAGAGAGCTGTCTGAAATGATTGTTCAGGGGGTGTGTGGGAGTGTCGAGAGCAGGCCCCTCACCTGCCCGTCTGCGCCCTTCCCCCCCAAGTCCATGGAGAAGAGCAGAGTAAGGGGACATCACTGCCCTGCGCTGGCCTCCCACCCTGAGTGAGGGCTGACCCTACTGTACAGGGTAGCACTGCCCTTTGGGTATCAGAGTTTCAAAGTCATGGGAACAGAGAGCCTCGTCTTTCTCCCATGAAGCAATCAGTGGGTCTGAACCGCGGACCTTGTGGCTAGCAGCTCAGTGTGTAGCCCACTCTGCCACCAGGGCTCCTTTTCCTGCAGCTTGTCATTCTCGCTTGCAAGATGAGGACCACAGTGCACATGCTCCACACCTCACAGAGGGCGGCACTGAGCCCAGTCTTGCCCAGGGACTGGGGACGGCATATGCCAAGCACATCATGGGGTCAGGGGCACAGGAAATGCCCACCCTTCCCTCCTTTGGAAGCTGGAGGGTTGATCACAGCCTGGTGGGGAGAAGGTAAAGGTCTTCGTCCCGTCTGGTTGTATGTTTGTCACAGTAATAAGGAAAAAGTGTTTCACGCAGGGGCTGACGGGTCATCTAAGTGTCCCATAAATATTACCTATAAATGGTAGCCAGCAAATTGTTGACCGTGAATGGGAGTGCTTAAAACTAGTAGACTTTGTTTCTTTTTTGCCTCTGTCTTCTGCCCTCGTCGAGCCCTGGTGTTTCTGAGCCATGAGGGACAAGAGATGGCACCGTGTTTCTCAGCATTAAGGGACAAGTATCTGGGCAGGGGAGGGGGAGCCCTTGTTTGCAGGACTGTTCGTTTTATGTCTAGCTAGCACAGTGCCCGCCCTCCCCCCCGCCCCCACGCACGTGCACACACATGCTCAACAAAATGTCATGGCGCTCCCCAGGTCTCATAAAACACAAAACCCATCCTCCGCCACTTCAAAATGTCCCGGAGGTGGGGGGACTCTGGGTGCGGAAGTACTCCTTGTACAAAGGTGCAGGCCTTGGGGGAATGAATGGCTTGCTCCAGGCCACATGGTGGTGAGTGATGGGGCCAGACCCCGACCTTGGATTTTCCCATGATTCCTTGGTCTGCTGTCCTTTCCGGGCACGACAGCTGCTCTCACTGTCTGTGTCTCCCCAAACACAGCCCAGACCCCATCACCCTGCCTCCTCCTGGACCCCCTGGCAGTTTCCCTCAGGATGCCCCCGCCCGGGCCTGGGGAGTCACTCACGATGATGAGGAGGATGAAGTAGATGAAGTTGTAGAAGGAGTGAGCATCCATCACAAAGTACATGATGTCCACCCAGCCCTCCAGCGTGATGACCTGGGAGGAGGAGCAGAGCAGTAGGCTGAGCCCAGCCCACCCTAAGCGTCCTCGCTGCTCCCCTCCAGGGGCCCGGAGACCAGTCCACCCCTGAGAAGGCCCATTCCCAGCTGGATTGGGCAGCCCGGTGGCCCTGGGCTCCCGGAGCCCAGGCTGCCCACCTGGAAGATGGCGATCCAGGCGTAGCCGATGTTGTCGAAGTTGATGGCCCCCTTGAAGGGGTTGTGCTCCCCGGCGGAGCAGTTGGTGTAATACTGGTTCCAGTTGACACAAGTGGTATTGCTGGAGCTGTTGTAGGCCTCGTAGTCCAGGCCGCATGGTGGGCCGCCGCCCCCCTCCCCACGCAGCGTGGGCACGCTCCGGCAGGACCGCATGCCGTTCTCGCGAGGCTGGGAGCAGATGAAGGGGCTCTCATCTTCATTCTCAGTCTGGTAATAGCGCTCCAGGTCCACGCTCAGGGGGCTGTGGGGGGCAGGGGGATTGGGCAGCGATGAGGCTGGGGAGCAGGGGCCGGCACGTGGCTGAGGGTGGGCGGAGGCATGCAACATGAACAGGGCAGGAGAACCCAGAGTCAGTCGGGGCCAGGCAGGGGTTTGTGGGCGTGGACCTGTGCCCGGGCCTGCAGACAATGGGCCTGGAGGTTAGACATCAGACGACTGTCTAGAGACTGCTGGGAATCACAGAGCCCCTGTAGCATACCCCTTCCCTCGGGCTGGACCCCAGACCCATTTAACCAACAGCTCCCAGGATAGCACCGAGGTCTTAGTAAGCGTGACAATTCCCTGGGCAGTTCAAATGAGCAGCCAGGTTTGAGAACAGTGCTGGGCCGGTGAGAGGGGTGGTTGTCAATAGCAACAGGAAGGGGTTGCTCTCAGGAGGTCCCAGCCCTGAAATCATTCCCGGGTCAGTGGGCAGGTCCTCCTGGTCCACCACTCACAGGCTGAAATTCTCGGGCAGGAAGCACCGGTTGCGTAGCAGGCCGGCCCAGAGCTGGACACCCACGATGCCGAAGATGAAGAAGACGAAGAAGCAGAGCAGCAGGACGTTGCCCAGCATGGGCAGCGTGTCCAGCAGCAGCGTGACCAGAATGCGCATGCCTGCGAGGGCAGAAGGCACGCTGGGGCCACCGGGCTGGCCAGGCTAGGCTGGCTGCCACGGCCTGGAAAGGCTCCCAGAGGGGCCCCAGTGAGGCTGAGGCTGCACTGGCCTGAGTCAAGTTGGAGAGGAGACCCCTGCCCCCACCCACAATCCCCTGCCACTTGCCCAGGACCACCAACCAGGAGTGAATGGAAGGCAGGCTCCCAGGCACCTCCCGAAAGCCCCCGGGCATAATCCAGGCTTTCTGCTTATGCATTCTACTCCCCGACACACACA